CGCCGGGCGCTGTCACCCGGCCCCGCGCAGACCTGCTCCGGCCCGAGCCACTCGGCGGGTCCGTGGCCTTTTCGATTTCTGTTCTCGAAGTCCGGCCTGGGATGCTGATGAGGAGGCTGTGGAGGGGGAACCGCGAGTGTCCTGGGAAGCAAGGCCTGCTGCGTGCGGATCAGAAACGCCCAGCGAGAACAGATGTAAATTCCCGCGGAAAGGATGTACGTTGTGCTAAGTTTTTCCGGAGGTGTCCGCTCTTCACGTGGGGTCTCAACTTAGCCGTCGAGCACCGGCCACCTCCAGTGTTGCTTCGTGCATGGAGTAGGGTGGGACGCTACGGTCCAAAGAGGGCTTTTTGGTGGGGCTGTTCCCAGAGGTTCACGCCAAGCAGTGCCCGTTAAAGGTCGGGAGAGACGGATGCGGTATTAGCAGCGAGCCGTTTTTGAGAACCGAGTAACACACCAAAGAGATTTGAAAGGAAATAGGTGGATTTTGTCATTGTTTGGATATACTTTTTCCTGAACAGCTTTATTAGATATTAGATATCATGCTTATTTAACTTTATTGCTTCTGAAGTAAAATGCCCAAATGTGTTTCTGTTAGCTTGCCAACTGCCTTGAGTGGATGAAGAAAGCTGAGTGTGTCTTCATGCCTGCACCTTTGAGGCCTGCTAACTGGTGTTTTGAGGCGTATGTTGCATCCTTCTGGGCCACGAGTAGATTCAGAGGTCAGATTTGTTTGCATTTTCAGGAAAGTAACGGCCTGGTGGAAATGGGAGTGGCCTGGGATCAGCCATTGTCGTTGGCTAGCATTCTTATCTTGGGTATTTTCTTACCCTAATGTACATTTGTTTTTCTATATTTTGAAAATTAGGATGAATAGGTCATCTTTGTAAGTGTTTTCTGTTCCAAAATTTGGCGACTTTTTTCTTTAAATGAAAAAAAAAAAGTCTTTTGAAACGTTCTACTTAAGAGTGATCACAGTATGCATCATAAAATTTTGGAAAAAAATCTCAGTAGATGGAATAATGTTATGTAATTTGAACAAGGTATGTAATACTTCAGTGTGCTTAAGAAATTACTTTTTTTTGAGACAAGGTTTCACTATATAGTTCAAGCTAGCCTTGAACTCACTATGTAGCCCAGATTGGCCTCTAACTCAGAGTGATCTCCTGTCTCAGCTTTCCGAGTGCTGGTATTACAGGCATGCACCATCACATCCAGCTGGTTCAATGATTTTTGTTTTATTTTGTATTGTTCTTTGTTTTTTGGTACCGGGAATCAAACTCCTCGGGTCCTTGCGCTTGAGAAGCAGGCGGCAGTACCATTGAGCTAAATCCCGGCCCAGTGATAGATAGATAGATAGATAGATAGATATTTAAAGATGAATTGATATGTACTGATAACCTCACTCAGGTCAAGGTATAAAAAATTTTAAGGCCCCAAAGGGCTCCCGTTGGGCCATTATACATCTGCTCCCTCTTCAAGGCAGCTACTTTCTGATTTCTGCCACAACAGATGAGTTTTGCCCTGAAACAGAACCCTTTAGAAAAGTTAAAGGGGGCAGTATTAATAATTAAACTGTAGGGCAGCAGGTATGTAAACTTCAAGTTATGGTCATTTTCACCATGATCCTGTGATTTTATGACCTAGACCTATTGTATCTGGAAAAAGTGCTGACCTGAGAGTCATAGTCAAGTGGCCATATTCTTCTTTCTTTTTTCTTTTTTGCTGGGGCATTTATTTGCAGGTTTGGGTCTGTGGTTCTTAGGAGTTCTTATATTCAGTATATTCAGGCACCGTTTTTTTTGTTTTGTTTGTTTGTTTGCATTGGAGAATGAAATCAGGACCTTGTGCTTTCGAGGCAGGCGGCACCATGAGCTAAATCCTGGGCCAACAGTATTTATTCTTTTACTACTCATTCTTGGAATACAGATGTATTTTTAAAGAGTAGGTTTGAAGGATGAATAAACTTTCAAAACAAGTCATATATATATATTCACATCTACCTGGTAAAATAATTAAATCTGCAAAAACAAAAGGCAACTAAAAATTAGGCCAGGTGCAGATTTTTGAAAAGTATCACATGATTAAGATACCTTTTTGTATTAGCCCTCCATCTAAGAAGGTAGGTTTAAAAAAAAAATTACCTATTGAAGCAAGTACGGCAACAATTTTCTTATTCTCCCCAAATGTCTTTTTTTGTTTGTTTTGGTACCGGGGATTGAACTCCGGACCTTCAGCCTAGGGCGGTGGAACCACTGAGCTAAATCCCTGGCTTCTCCCCAAATGCCTTTTAATCTATCCTTGTGCCTTTCCTAGTTTCTACTGCTAAAGAAGAGGAGTTAGACTTTGTAAGTGAATTCTTACTTTCTTAGCTTCTAACAAAGGCCTGTGCTTTTTACTACAAAGACATTGGTGTGATAGAAAGTAGGAATGGTCTTATTCCTGTGTAGTGAGATAGCCTACAAAGTTCCAAGGTTTTCTTTTGAAATGATTTTCCCGAATACAGTAATTTTGTATTTCTTTGTCCAGTTAACTGCCCAATTCATGGGCCAGCCAACCTGTATTTGGTCACCTTTCCCAGTAGTCACCCCAAGACAGTATTGTACTTGATGGTTTAGCTCTTGTTGATCCACTGCTTTGTTTTATTGGGTATTTTTAGGTTTTTTGGTTTTTCATTGTCAGATTATTTAATTTTAAATTTGTTAAATCGTTGAGAGATGCAATTAAAGAGATACAAAATGAGAAAATACACATAAAAGGGACTTTTCTCTTTTTGATATTTTTTTGTAAATTCTGATTTTACCTTTTAAAAATGCTGTAGCCATCCATTCATTACTGAATATGTAGGGTGCTTTTGCTTTCACAGTGACAGCTAGCCTGGGCTTAGCTGTAGAATGGTGGTGTAGCAACGCATGCCATTTGACTTTAAAGTCTATTGAAAAGATAATCTGTCTAAATGTCATTGGTTTTTAAGAAAGTTAGGAATCTGTTATGTTCACATTAAATAAATGCAGTATAAAAACAGACCATAGGCAGATATTTTAATTACTATTTTTTGATTAAGATTGTCTGTCTTAGCCTGTCATAGTGGCACTTACCTATAATCCCTGTACTCACAAGGCTGGGAGGATTGCACATTTGAAGATACAAGAGACCCTGTCTCAGAGCAAGCCCCCCATTCTGTTTTATAATTTTACAAAACTTTATTTTTTGAAATTATTTGGATGATAGCCAGTATTGTATAATTTAAGAATAAAAGAATAATCAGTAAATGGTGCAGCTTTGTTACAGCAGGGTGTTTTTCTTTCAGTGAATAGTGTATGTTCTTTAACTAGGGTGTTTTGTTTTTGAAAACAGTATTTCTTTATATACATAGTTGTTAAATTGGGTGGAAGTGTCTGGGGATTTTGGTTACCTGGGAGATTTTGAACCATTAGACTTTAGGGAGTGGGGTTTTGATAGGACTCTACCATTCTTCAAGTGATACTAGTCCCTCTGGAAAATGATTTAAAATAGGATGTGGTCAGGTTTTTGTAGATTCATGTTTAAACTTTTTTAAAAAGTGGGAAGAAGAGTAAGATCAAAGAAGTTATTAATAGAAAAATTATGTAACTTCACTGCAGAAGTGTTTCACATTGTTTTGTTTTTGAGATGGGTTTTGCTATGTAGTTCAGACTGGCCTTGAACTCACTGTGTAACAGAGGCTGGCCTCGAACTCAAGGCAATCCCCCTGCCTCAGCCTCAGCCAAGTACTGGGATTACAGGTGTGCATCACTGCATGCTTAACATAGAATTTTTTTTTTTTTTTGTACCAGGGATCAAACTCAGGATCTTGTGCTTGCAAGGTAGGCAGTGGTATCACTGAGCTAAATCCCTGTCTCACTCTAGAAGTTTTAAAACATTTGATTGTAAACCACAACTCAAAGGCACTTAGGATTTGTAGTGTATTTTTCAGTCCTTGTTATTCAATATTTTTAAATACTGGGGATTGAACTCAGGACCTTGCATTTGCAAGGCAGGTGCAGTGCCACTGATCTAATTCCCTGGCCTCAAGAGAATATTTATAAAAACTTTGTTTGGGAGCCGGGCGTGGTGGTGCACTCCTATAATCCCAGCACTCGGGAGGCTGAGGCAGGAGGATCGCTGTGTGTTCCAGACCAGCCTGGGCTACATAGTGAGATACAGGTCAGTCTCAACTACATAGTGAGACCCTGTCTCAAAAAACC